GGGAACCGAACGATCCAAGATCACGCGAAATCGTCAACAATCAAATCCAGCTAACCTACTTAGCGAGGTACGAAGAACGGGCCCCAGGTAAGCACACCTACAGTCTGTTTATCAACTTTATTTTTATGCATGGCGGTTTAACATGCCTGGGCACGCTTAAACTGCCATGTTCACAACCAAGTAACTGTTGGAACAGTTACAATATTTTAATTACTTGCAGTCAATTTCGTATCAATTACAGAAACTGAAACGTGAATGAAGAATAATTCCTGAGTTCCAGTGGGGGGGAAAAAAAGACAGAAAAGACCTTTGTGAACACTTTGGAGTTACCAGGATTTCTAAATTGCAAGATTTGCAGAGTGTTGCGGTCTAGCTCAGTTTTTCATGAAGGGTATGCCGGGCAGACTTCAATATCTTTCAATCCCATCTTTCTTCACAGTAAACAAGCACTCTAGCAGTCTGTGACTCTTCAGTCTGGCTTAAGTTGGATTAGACTTTCAGTCAAGACCGCCTAATCTGAGACCAAGACAAGACCAAGACCATAGGGTATCGAGACCAAGACAAGACCAAGTCGAGACGAGACCAAGACCGAGTCAAAAAAAGTCTTTAAACTGCAGCCAGATGCTGCTTCGTTTACGGGTTTCAGGCATATTTATGTGTTTTTGCTTTCCCACAGCCCTCCTCACCGCTGTCTACTGTCTCACTCACTTACTGAGAGGACAGACGCATGCTCCACTTGACTGTCGCCTCTCTCACCCTCTCTGTTTTTCACACAATGACATTATCCTATATCCTCGCATGTGATTGGCCACAATATGGAGGGATTGGAGCGTAGCTGAGCCACTGTGTGAGAGCTGAGCAGCGAAAGGAGAATAAGTGAGGGTAATGACTGAAAGATTAATAGGCTCTGTTTTGAGTTTTGTTCAAAAAAGAATGACTTCATGTAGGGAAAAAAATAAATATCACATAAGCAGGACACCTTAAACTAGTTTTTTAATTAAGCAGCGAGGCAGAACACAGTCAGGGCTGTATCAAGACACAGGGACTGAACCCCAATTCAACCAGACCCAGAACTGATCTGGAATTAAAACAGGACTACAACAATTCAAAATCAGGACTACTGAGGATTTAACAAAACTAGATAATAGCAGCACTAAAAATCATCATAGACCTGCACTACACTTATTTTTTAATTCTACCAAAGTACAATATTTAGATTCAGAAACATTTATATAATTATTTAGCCTTGTTGTGCAAACAAGCTGCATAATTATATAAATGTAGAATTTGAAAAGTAACAAATGGTATCTAAAAAGTTACACTAGGTACTGGATACATGTTCTGATGAGTTCTCTCTCTCCCTCTTTGTGCTGACAATCAAGTCAAACACCAACATCATCAAATATACAGTTGAAACCAGATATTTACTCTTCATATCAAAACACAAACACTTTTTTAATTGTAACATCAAATCAGACTAAATGTTTATTTAGATTGATAAATATAAAAACATATTTGTTAACTTTCAGAGTAAAGAGAGAAATTATCTGTATTTCTTAATTGTAAATGGCACCAAATTGTATTCAAACTGAGCCACACTTATGGAGGTCCACAGTTCTGTTCCTGGTGTTTTGGTTGACATCTCCTGATGTTCCCATGTCACAGAAACAGACTCTGTGTTTTGCCTTATATGCATCCACAGCTGTGCCACCAGTTTACTCACATGGACTCTACGAACCTATCAGAAGCTTCTGCAGCTCAGAATGGAATCGTCTGCAGTTTCTTATTAATTAACAATAAACTTAGTGTATATGTACTCCTACATTTGATGAAAGCTCCCTCTTTTTATTCTGACATTTAAAAGTCTCAGGTACATCAAAGTGCTTCACAGATGAGCCACATTTGTGGGGTTACAGCAGTAAAGGAGCAGGAAATACAATTATCAGCAAAAGAAATACAGTTATAAAAGGGTGACGTGACAACAAGCATGAACCGGGGAAAAGTTAAAAACTAAGTTGTTTGGAAGGCTTAAACAGGTGGGTTTTTAAATGTGATTTAAATGATTGGATGAATTCCGACGCACGGACATCCATCGGCAAGCTGTTCCAGAGGTATCCGATGGCTGTTTCAAGGGCATGTGACTGTCAAAGATGATCATTCCTGTTTTGTTTTCATTAAGGGTGAGAGAGTTGTGCAGTAGCCAGTCTCTAACATCAGCAGGCAGTTGAACAAAGGCAATAGTGGGGACTGGAGATCCAAATCCAGAGGAAAATAGATTTGGATATCATCCACATAACAATGGAAAGAAATATTATGATTTCTGAAAATTTGTCCCAGGGGTAACGGATACAAAGACAACAGGGTAGGACTTAACACAGACCCCTGGGACACACCACAGCAGAGGGGTGCAGAGGAGGAAGAACGATTCCCCATAGAGACAGAGAAAGTCCTCTCATTTAAGTATGATTTGAACCATGAAAGTACTTTGCCTTTAAGCCCAACTACATGTTCAAGCCTTGAAAGGAGGATGTCATGATCAACCGTATCGAAGGTAGAGGACAAGTCTAAAAGAACTAAAACCACAGGACGCCTTGTATCAACAGTCATTAAAAACTCTCAGTAGGGCTGTCTCGGTGCTGTGGTGAGGTTTAAAACTGGAATTTTATCTAAATCAAAACACGTTTACTCTAAATTGATGTTTAACAGTAAAAAAAAAAAGGTTTTGTTTTCTCCCTAAAGTGTAAATATCTGATTTCAACTGTGAATATCCTGCTGTGTATTGAAATTTCTCTTGTTTTGCATAGAAATACTGAACAACATCCAAAGCATAATATATAAAATAACATCTACTAGAGTTTTTTCTTTGAAAGAAGCTCTTTGTGTCCATTGTTGTGTTCATCAGTACGCAACTGAGAGTCTGAATGCTCGGAAAGCTCCCGGCCCAGACGGCGTGTCTCCTGCCACCCTCAGACACTGTGCAAACGAGCTGGCCCCAGTGTTTTCTGGCATTTTCAAC